ATGAAAAACGGATTAAATATTGCATATTTATATTTGTTTAATTCTGTTAACGTATTTCACGCTTTTGTAGTGATGATTTTTAAGCCAGTTTCCAGTCTAATCATTAGTCTCAGTTAAAATAAACACTAAATTTACCAGATAATTGAAGCGTTGAGCTTTGGTGACAGAAACAAACAAACACAACTGTTGATATCACTGCTACAATTGCTGCTGTAGTGAAAACTGTTTACCGGAAAATATTGAAACAATCACTTAAGTTGCAAAAAAAAAAAAAATAATGACAAAAAATTTAGCTAAATATCAGTTGAAGTTAACATATAAAAGCTGCTGTAATTAATTTGAATTGATAAAATAGATCAGTAAGTTTTGTTGAAAAAATTTACTTTATGTTAATATTTGTTAAATAGCAATTTCAGTTTTATCCTCATAATCCCGAAGCAATGGGAAGCATATTTTTCCATGAAGTTGCTCATCTTATTGGCGTTCCACATCGGAACAGCACTGATATAACAAAGGTCAAAGATTGTCAGTGCGATACCAAAGAACCTAATTTACCGTTTCGAGGATGTTTAAAAATTCCGTAAGTCATTTTTAAAAAATTATAACTGCAAATTTTTGATGTTTTTTTCTTTACAACTTTATAATTGTCAAATGACTGATAATGAAGAAAAAATTTTTATTATAACGGATATTCCTTTTCTTTTTTTTTACGCGTGAAAAACTAAAATTGCAACGTCAAAACTTTTCAACATTCACAACTGTTTGTTTTTGCTTTTTGCAGTTATAAAAATACAAATTTTAAAAATTGTTTAAATCAGTGGCATTAAGCTGCAAAAATTAAGCAAGAAAACCAAGAAAAAAATGCAAAAAAAAAAAAAAAAGAATTTGTTTAGATAAGAAAAAAAAATAGGGACTATATTTTAGTGTCAGCTAAGTGAATGTATTGTACACAAGAAAAAAACTTACACTCTTCTTCCCGCAACAGTATTCGTCGTTTAGAGGATTCGATCACGACTGCACTCTGCAGGAGATGGTCAATGCAATCAAGCATAAAAGCTGTATCAAACAACAGCAAACCTGTGATGCCAATATATCGCCAATGGTAGTCGAAGGTTCCATACCAATCTGTGGAAACGGTGTCATCGAACCCGGTGAAGAATGTGATTGCGGATTACGACGGTACTGCAAAAAATGGAATTGCAGACCGCATAACTGTACAGCTGTGATCAAATTTTGGCATTTGGTAAACAGCTATAGTTATTCTTCTTTTATTTTCCAACAATTTTGCAATTTATTTAAGACAATTCAAAGTGGCAAAGATGTACTGTGAATACCACTGAATACACTGGGATATTTTGTGTGAAGTTGCGTACTTATTTTAGCTGGCTTTTCAAATTTTTTTTAAGCTTTGCTAACTGGTAGACTTCAAGTACAAATTTTAAAATTCAAAAAACTTAGAAAACAAAAAATGCATTAACTGTAGAGTTAGGCTCTGATAGAGTGCAGAAAAAAGTGTAGCCTCTTGTTGGTATGATCATCTTAGAAAAAAATCTGTAATTTGCTTCAATTTCTTACAGTTTCTTTAATATAAAATAAATCATAATTGTTTTAAATTCGCAGAAAACAGTTGTCAAACAGAAAAAATTTTCAATTGCAAACTAAGCTACATTTTTTTAATTGTAGTGAGCGAAAATTACGTTCTTTTTTCTATTTTAACACTAACCAGTGCAATTTTTGAAGTAAGGTTTCTAATTTAAAAATTTAGAGCTGATTTCTAAAAATAAAAGAATTTAAAAAAAAAACAGCATGTGATTTGATGAGCAGCCATATAGCCAAAAAAGATTGAGGTTTTCATTTACTGTTGCACCACATCTAAACAAAATAACTGTCAGATAGACCAGTAAGAACTGATATTTTTATTATAGTGTTCATGTATCATGTTGTTTATAACCCTGTTGATTGTGCTGCTCATGCTACGCAGTGGAACACGATGTGTTCGATATCACAAATACAGCAACAAATTTGCAAATTCTGCTGAGAAACTGATCTCTATTTTTCAACCATTTAAAACTATCTGCTACAAGCCACGCTTGTTTCGTACAAAGCATCATCTGACAGATACTTTTGGCAAACTTCGAGCAAAACAGCTTTATTCGATTGAAAAGCAACAGGTTTGTTTTATCGGTTTTTAGCAGTATTCTGCCTTATTGAGGCATGTTCATAAATGTATCGTTTCCAAAGACAGTAAAATAATATCTCGCAGTAATAAATAGAAAGGTAAAAAAAAATCTTTTTTGTTCAAAATCTTTAGGTTTTAAAAAAACAGTTGATCATTTTTTTCATTAAATAAACGTTGACTTCATAGCAGATGAATAAAAATATGATTGTTACGCTTGTTGGTTCTCAACTCGTTACAAAAACAACGTTACCGCGTCGAACAAGCAGTCGTTCGATCAGAAACCACTCAGTGCCTAGGCCCTCAGTACCTCCTCCACCACCACCAGTGCCAACTTTTAAAATGAGGTAAGCTGCTGTAAAAATGGCAACTGAAAACTTTTTATATAATGCAGCTTTTTTTGGCTAAAAATTTTCATAACGGAGAAGCTCTGTGAGTTAAAAACACATAAATCTTTTCTATAAAAAAAAGTGTGATGAAAGTTACGGTAAGTAATCTTTACAAGCCAAGGCTGTTATCTCATTGAATATTATTCTGCTAAAGATCTATAAAGTGGCAGAAACATAAATTCCTAATTTTACAGCGACATTCAGCAAAGAACAAAATAATTGATTTTGTAAAGCAGATATGTTAAAGACTTCTTTTGCGAAAAAAATTCTTTTTTTGGTATTAATATCAACTTTTAAAGCACAGTGTTTTCTAGACATAATACGCTCTGTTTTTACAGTTTTACATGCGATATCAGTTGTCAGGTCAGAATTTAATGTAGAATCAAAAACCGTTATTGAGTAAACAGCTGATAGCTGTAAAAGTTAGTTTTTAAAAAATTAAAAGACTGTTAGTGAGTGCTTCGCCTTCTCTGCTACTCTTTCTAACGAAGATAGACGAGATAATAGCATGTTATTTTAGTTACATAATTTTACTGGTATAAATTTTACTGGTATAAATTTGTTGAGGAAGTGGTCAGGAGTTAAAGCAAATAAGTAAGCAAAAAGCATTTTTGAACCTAGAGGTGACAAAACGTTAAGCCATTTTTCTAAATTACTCTGCACTTATTTTCTAATAAAGTCTTTGCTTGCCGAGCAAGTGACTTTTAAACCTAATTGATAAGCTACTAAAACGAAAAGCATAAAATAAGTACAGAAATTATAAATAAATTATACGTGGTAGTAAAACAAAATCTAATCCTAATCGGCTTCTGCACGAAACAAAAACGGCAACTTCTGCCGTATTTAGGCGCTTGTTAATGATATATTGGACATCGTCGGTGAGTCGATTGTTAAAAGTAATTTACTACAAACTGTTTTTAAAAGTATGAGAAGAATTTTGTCAGGCAAAATTAAAGGCAAACTGCGCTATTAGTCATTTTCTTTTCTTTTTCTTTTTTTTTTAAGTTTTACAATTGTTTTTATATGTTTATAAACTTCTTTTATAAACTTTTTTTGAGTTATTTTCTTATTAACATTAGATAGAGGTTTTTCTTTTCTAAAAAATGAGTGACCATTTCGCTGTTATAAAGCAAAAAAGACCTAGTTTTTTAGGATTTACTTGGTCAAAATTCTGTTTGATCCTGTCTTTTTTCTTCGCTAACGTTTCTTAAGCAATTAACTTTTTGCATTTTCTCGGTGCGTACATCGTCTTTTGTGCTAATACTGCATTTTCAAGTAGTTAATTGAATAACTCTAACTGTCACTTACTTTTACAAATTGGTAACAAACAGTACTTATTAATCAGCAAACAAAGTAGAAGTAGCTGCTCAGCTTGCCATTCAGAGGCAACCACTCAGTTTAACAGCCCTTATGCATGCATAAGGGCCCCTTAATCTAAATAAGTGCCAGTGAGCTTTTTAGGAAGATAACATCAACTTTAAAAGGATGGAAATTTCGTGAGTTGCAACTAAATATGATTTGACAAAGGATTTACTTTTTTAGGTTTTTCTCGACTTTTAAGTCTCAAGCTAAGTTTTCGTAACCTAAAAAATTTTAAAAAAGAATCTGATGTGTGGAGAAGAGAAAGGTGTAT